AAAGCAAATAAGTCCATAAACATTTACTTGGTGCAAGTATATATCAGTTTAACAAGCACTGGAAAGTGTCCTGGAGTGGGCAGGGTATTGAAGCTCCTGATTGCCTTAATTCAAGATCCTCCTTCTTCGGCTTCTCCTAGATACTGGAATTTATAGCCAGGTGCTACTTAAAATGGATTGTTTGCTGTATAAAACTTACCCAAAGTTAGAATTTTGATCTTAATTAATGTCCTTTGTAGAAATTGATAAGAATGGATACAGAACTTTTGTTTAGTCTTGCTTGTTTTTCAATTCTTTTACTGGCCTCTTGAAAACAGAAATGCTTTTTAGAGAGACATAGTATGAAGTGTCCTTCATAGAATGATTGGACAATGAGACTTTTTTTAAATGAAGCAATTTTACTGGTACTAATGGGAATTAAAAGTTGTGTTTATGAGCCAGGTGTGGTCTACGCCTTTAATCCCAGCAATAGGGAGGCAGAGGCAGGTGGATCTCTGTGAGTTCGAGACCAGCCTGGTCTTCAAAGCAAGTTCCAGGATAGGCTCAAGCTACACAGAGAAACCCAAAAACAAAACAAAATGTGTTTATGGCTCAGTAGGGAAAGTGCATGCTGTACCAGCTTGTGAACCTAAATTCTGAACCTTGGCACCTATTGTAAAAAAAAACAGGCTTGGTCCAAAACAATACAGAGAAACCCTGTCTCAAAAAACCAAAACCAAGCCGGGCGTTGGTGGCGCACCCCTTTAATTCCAGCACTCGGAGGCAGAGGCAGGCGGATCTCTGTGAGTTCAAGGCCAGCCTGGTCTACAGAGTAAGTTCCAGGACAGCCTCCAAAACAATACAGAGAAACCCTGTCTCGAAAAACCAAAACCAAACCAAACCAAACAAACAAAAAAAACAGGCAGAGCATGCCTTTGTTCCCAGTGCTAGGAGTCAGAGGATCCCCAGTACTCCTTAGGCAGTTCAATTAACCAATAGATGAGAATTCTGGGTTCGGTGAGAAGCCCAATCTCAAACCGTAAGGTAGACGGTAATAAAGAAAGACACTTACTTGACTTCAACCTCTGACCTTCCTTCACAGGTATATAAGCATGCAAACATACACAAAGTTGCATGTATTAATAGCGTAACATGTGGAATAGGCAGGCATGGCCATCTAAGTGATTTTGACATTAGCCAGGGATAAACAGTAAAACTGTCTCCCAGTGCTGGAGAATTGGTTTAGAGGTTAAGAACACTTGACTGATATAGCAAAGGACCCAATTTCAATACCCAGCACTCATGGCAGCTCACAACCATCTAACTCCAGCCCCAAGGGCTCAGCTGCTGGCCTCAGTGGGTGTGGCATGCAAATGATACTCAGAAATACATGCAGGCAAAATATCCATAATGAAATTATGGTGGGGAAGACCTTGTCTCCAGAGGATGCAGTGCTCTCTTCTAGCACCTGAAGGCAAGTGATACACATAATAAATTCTTGCAGCACAAAATTTTAATGAAATTTGTATGTGTAAAATTTAAAAATGATAAGATTTGTCATACCACTTTAGTTCCACTTAGTTAAGCCTAAGCCACTTAATATTTTTTCTTTTTTCTTTTTTTTCTTGAGACAGGGTTTCTCTGTATTGTTTTGGAGGGTGTACTAGAACTTGCTCTGTAGACCTGGCTGGCCTCGAACTCACAGAGATCTGCCTGCTTTCTGCCTCCTGAGTGCTGGGATTAAAGGCGTGCACCACCAACTCCCTGCTACAGCAACTTAATTTTTAAACATTTCCTTAATTTGCTTAAGAGGGCAGGTAGAGTGGAGGTGAGAAATGGTTGAGTTTCAGGAGTGTTGCTGTTCCTCCAGAGGGCCGGAGTTGGGCTCCCAGCACCCACATCAGGTAGCTCCTAACTGTCTTAACTTCAACACCCTCTTACTGGCCTCTGCAGGCACCCACATACACTCATACAGACTTGTGCACATGAAACCTTTTTTTTAAAGCTCTTTGGCAGCAGAGGCAAACCTGGTCCACACAATGAATTTCAGGATGACCAGAGCAATATCTGACTAAAGGGATGGAATCAGTCTTCTTTCCTAAGCCTCTGTTGAGGTTGTTCGGTGGTTAAAAGCAGTTGCCACAAAAAAAAAAAAAAGTGGGGCGTTGGTGGCGCACGCCTTTAATCCCAGCACTCGGGAGGCAGAGGCAGGCGGATCTCTGTGAGTTCGAGACCAGCCTGGACTACCAAGCAAGTTCCAGGACAGCCTCCAAAGCCACAGAGAAACTCTGTCTCGAAAAACCAAAAAAAAAAAAAAAGGCAGTTGCCACCAAACCCAACAACCTGATTTCAGTACTCCCAATCTGCATTGTGGAGAAAGAACTCCACATGCCTGCCAAGGCACAGAGACCATCACTCCCAGTAAATAAAGTAAATTGATAATTTACCCCCTCCCTCCCAAAGGGTAAAGCAAGCCAGACATTGTGGTACCTACCTATAATCAATCCCTCTTGAATGGGACAGGGGGATCAGGAATTGGACTGTACGGGATGGGTGGGGAGGGAGATAATGGCTAGTCAGCTGTGGTGGCTCAGGCCTATAATCCTCACTGAAGGGGGACTACTGTAGGTCCAGCTCATAGTGAGTTCCAGATACCCTGAATTACCAGAAAACCAAGTAGGGGGAAGGTAAAGATGATGTCTTGTAGTAGGTCTAGTACTAGGCCTGAATTTGGTGGTGTTTTTATTTTGTAATGTGTTTAAGGCATTTTCACTTTGTACCACTCCTAAAATGAGAATAAAGACCTAGGAAGTGCTACGCATGGTGGTACATGACTCTTTGGGAAGTGGTGGGATCCTGCCCCACCCCCCAGAGCCTGGAGATCTAAGACTGACAGCAAATACTATGGATGAGTCTTATTTTTAAGTGAACTGTCTTATAACTTAGTTTATTAAGAGAAATATTGGCGTGAATAATCAGTAGTTTCCTTGAACCTGGCTCACTAAAAAAACATTTATATTGTCAGTAGGTGCTCAGGTATCATGATGGACCCATATTTCTGCACTAAGTGAATTGAGGCGTAAGTCTTAGCAGGTTTCATAGGACAGAAGTGGAAGAGAACAATGCTGGCAGTCACATTGGGGAAGATTGAAGGTGGAAGGCCAGTAGTAAAAGGAAGTGAGAACTGTACATGCCCTTCTATATATAGTCTTTGTTGTGGTATTGATCAGAGTGAGTAAGCCTGGTAGAGGAAAATTTACTTTCCCCCTTGAAATCAAGGCTCTGGCCTGTCATTCATACCTACTTTATGGCACCAGAGGGTGAGAATGAGTAGAGAATTTGGCAGTTGGTTTTTAGTTTGGTTTTAGTTGTTAATTATTGGCTTTAATATACCCAAGCCAATTTCATTTGTGTAAATTTGAAGGAAGCATCTAAGAGTATATGGATGTGCTACTTACTACACCCAAATATGTATGGGGCATTGACTCAGCTTTGTGCATGTTAGGAAAGCTCTCAAACAACTGTGCTGCATCCCAGCCCTAGACGTGTACCTTTGAAATCATTTTTATGCCAACTTTTGAATGGGACTTTTTTTTCAGCTGGCAGAGTTATGGACAGCTTTTAACAATTTTACCAAAAGATTATAAGTTTTACAGATAACCTGACAATTACGGTAGTAGTTAAAATTTGGCTGAATGCCAGTTACTAAGTCATTTATGATAAAAGCTTTCGAGATTATTCCAAGGGCCGGGCGTTGGTGGCGCATGCCTTTAATCCCAGCACTCGGGAGGCAGAGGCAGGCAGATCTCTGTGAGTTCGAGGCCAGCCTGGTATACAGATTGAGTTCCAGGGCAACTAAGACTATTACACAGAGAAACCCTGTATGGGGGAAACTTTAGAGAATACAGGCATATGTCACGTTAGAGTGAGTTATCTAATGAGCCTTTATAGATAGAGATCACGTTGACCTCATATTGATTAGCCAAGTAAAAAGAGATGAATGAGCAGAGCACTGTGCATCTCCTTCATGGGACATATGATTTAAATTCACTAGTTTATTTCTTTGGAAATTCCCATTTATAAAATACTAAGGAAATAACAGGCAGTTTGTTTCACGTGATGTACTGACTTGAATATATGTAAATTTGTCCTTTTACCTGGCAGTGTGGCCTGGACTTAGTATTAAAGGGCTATTATGGTGTTTATGAATGCTTGCTTACCTTTACTTAATATTAAGAATTTAGCTTTTGTATTTGCATCTACAATACTGAGCTTCCTGTTGCTTGCTTAGTTTCTCCAGATAGCAAATAGCAGAATTGGTTTGAGTGAGTTGTGCTTTGAAAACCTTCTGCCTGGCTTCTTTCTGGTTTGTAGTATCCAAGGTAGATGGAAGCCTAATTAGTATTTCTTTTATAATCTGTGATACAAGGGCAATGAGCCGTATGGCCTATTTCCACTATGCAGCATATTGTAAAGGCTTATTGAATACTAAGAAATTTTTAACATCCTTTCAATAAGACAGCTTTAAGAGCTGGTTAGTCTAGTAAGACAAGACAGTTAGCCACTTTTTTTTTTTTTTTTTGGTTTTTCAAAAACGGGGTTTCTCTGTATTGTTTTGGAGGCTGTCCTGGAGCTAGCTCTGTAGACCAGGCTGGCCTCAAAACTCACACAGATCCGCCTGCTTCTACCTCCTGAGTGCTGGGATTAAAGGCTTGTGCCACCAATACTCAGCTACAATTTATTCAGCCATAATGAAAAACAAATTTATAGGAAAATGAATGGAACTGGGAATCATTAATAAATGGAACAGGCTAGTCTCACAGTGTCATGTTTCATCTCATAGCTGTCAATTAACTTTAAAAGAAGGAAATAAAGCCGGGAGGTGGTGGCACACACCTTTAATCCCAGTACCACTGTTTTGGCGGGGAGGTTTCAAGACAGGGTTTCTCTGTGGCTTTGGAGGCTGTCCTGGAATTAGCTCTTGTAGACCATCAAAAACAAAGAAAAGGGTAAGTGATAGTAATAATGGCCTTTAACCCCAGTACTCCAGGCAGAAATAGGTGGATCTCTTGAGTTAGAGGACAGCCAGGAAGGACTACACAGAGAAACCCTCCCTGTCTGAACAAAGTAAAGTTCCCTGAATAGTTGAAATAGTTTCATTTAAAAAGATGGGTCAAAGATTTTCTAAAAATTATCTGACATCTGTCCTCTATAAATGACTACCATAGCCTGATTTCTAATGTAAGTGGCATTTATTTAGTAGTGTTTGAGAAATAATATACTTTTAAATGGTAAGCATTAGTATGACCTGCTTTCTGTAACACCAGCAGTTAGAATAACAGGCCATATTCTGAAACTTTTTGTTCATAGTTGAAGTTTGACACCACAGGTGTTAGAGCTAAGAGAACTATTCTATAAAGTTGTTTATAGAAGATTCTTGAAGATGAGAGAGATCAGATAAAAACAGTTTTAGATATTTGTGACACCCTGGGTGTTAAAGAGTGCTTTTGGACTGGATTTGTAAGTCAGTATTATAGTGCTTGCCTAGCATGCAACAGCCTTGGGTTCAACCCCCTAGCACTGTCAGAAAGAACAGAATTCCTTTAAAAGGTCTTTTAGCCAGGTGGTGGTGGCTTGTACCTTTAATCCCAGTACTTGGGAAACAGAAGCAGGAGGATCTCTGTCTTGAAGACCAGCCTGGTCTACAGAGTTCTAGGACTGTCAAGGCTACACAAAGAAACCCTGTCTCTCTCTAAAACAAAACAAACAAAACAAAACAAAAAAATGAGAGAGAGAGACTCTGCCAAACTATGATATTTTGTTGTGACTATCTGGGATTTAGCTTTAAGTTTATTAATTTTAGTCTCCAGAAGTAATTTTGGGGGCCAGCAAGATAGCTCAGTGGGTAAGGCACTTGCTGCTGCCCCTTGTAACTTCCAACGAGTTGCTTTCTGGCCGCATGTGCACAAAATAAAATTTAAAGTGTAATCTTTTTTAAAGAATAATTTTTGGTAACAATGTTTATGAAAAGAGGCTTGGAAATTAAACATTTATCTGGGCCATTCCATCCTCATCATATTAGAGGTGTCATTAAATTGTAGACTTTCTAGGATTTTTTAAAATCAGTAAAATTAAAGGTTTATAGAATCTCAGCAAACCCTTCTGAGGCTTTGGTGCATGCATAAAAACTGTTGTGACACTGCAGTTTCACAGTGCCATCGTTGTTATGTTAGAGTATGGTTTATAGAAAGGAAAGCTAAAAGACATTCTCCTGGTTCAGATTTTGGACCAGCCCCTTGAGACTTCAATTATAAACAAGATTAATACTTCTCTTTTTCTTTAGGTACTAAATATGTTGCTCCAGGCAGCTGTCTAGAAAATTTAGAGTAAGATATGAAAGACTTAACACTGGAAAGGTTGGCGATGGTGGTAGCGTGTGCCTTTGATCCCAGCAGGGGCAGGAAGATCTCTGTGAGTTTGAGGCCAGCCTGGTCTACAAAGCAAGTTCCAGGACAGCCTGGGCTGTCACACAGAAACATTGTCCTGAAAAATAACAAAGCACTGGAAAGGTTGTCATTGACCAGGAAGATGATGGGTAGAGTTCTTGATAAGTAACTGTTTTTGATATTACAGAGGCCAGGGATATAGCTCAGTTGATAAGTACTTACCTAGTACCAGGCCCTGTTCAGTCCCTAGCACTGTGTAAAACCAAGTTTGGTTGTGCGTGCCCATGTATGCTTGGGAGGGAAATAGAAGCAGGAGATGTGGGGTATTTTACCGCATATTAAAAATTGGTATGAATTTGTACATTTGTAAAATTGGGCTAATTCTTTGCATTAGTAACTGGGTCTTAAATAGATGGAGAAACCAAATTTTGGGTTCTATTTTGGTTGTGTGGGTTATCATGCTTTTTAGTCAGTTATAAATTATTTGGTAAGTTTTTATGTAGAACTAACTTCGGAGACTAGTTTGACATGAGGGGGATGTCTATTTCTCAGCAAGAGTCTACCCTCGTGCCCCTGCAAGGAGTGCAGATGTGCATAAATACAAAAGCGGTGGAATCAAGGACAGTTGTCATGATACACATTTTTAGTTTATGGTGTAAGTGGTGTCTCAAAACAGCATCTATTTCAGGAATTTACAAGCCAAAGTGAAGGACTGTTAGAAACTTTGTGCTCTCCCTTTAGTTATTATATGCTTGTCTTTAGAGCACATTTTTCTGGTTAATCAGAATGAGTGGAAATGGTAGTCAAAATTGGGAGGTGTCATTTTACTAATTTGTTATGTCTTTGATCTCCGGCATGTGTGTCATGTGAGTTCAGATGGTGTGTATGGCCATTTCAGCCTGGGATGCTTTGCTTCAGCCATACCTGAATTTCCTAAGTGTGGCTTATTGAAAGTTAATTCTAAGATCAGTAAGAGCTCTCAGCCTATAAAATAGTGGAAAATGAATATTAGGTGGGGGGAATTGTAGTATGTTTGAATTACATTTATATTAAAATTAGTCACTAGCATGGACATGAAAGGGGAGGAGGGTAAAAGTACGGTTAAAACCTTAGAGGCATTCAGTAAATTCTGTTAGACTACACATTTGCACATTTTTAAATACTATGAAAATTTGTTTTTTAAATTTATTTTTAAATAAACTAGTTATTTGCACTTTACCTGCTGGCCTTTCCATTTGGTAGATAACATTCTGAACTCCAGCAGAGTTTTATAATCCCCACGTGCTTAAATATACTAAATGTTCTTTTTCCATTAAGGTTAATGTTCGTGAAGAAATTGAAGAGTTTTTTCCAAGAATGTGGAAGATAAATCAAGATAAAAGAAGGCTAATGAAAAGTATTAAAGATCAGAAAATTAAAATTGAATGGGGGAAAAAATTGAACAGAAGATTGGTCAGATAGAAGCACTTGAATATTTTTTAAGGCTATTTTGAATTGTTTGAATTGGGGAAGAATACACGAAGTATGAAAATGAAAAACTCAATGAAGAATGAAGAGAAGTAGAAAGCAAGAGTGAAGTAGAATTAAAAGAATCTGGAAGAATGAATGGGTCCTAGGTTAAGTAAATGTATGGTTTATGTTCCAGTGTCTGTATGATCAAGTTGTAGATGAATTTGCATGATTACTTAGTTAATAGAAAATTGGTGATCTGGTTCAAATAGGGAATTATTGAGGACAGTTAGCAGTATTAACAATGGGATATTAATGAGCTGAAATTTTTTTCTGGAGGGTGTTGCCTAACCATTTGTTTTTCAGGAGCAATCAATATAAATAATTACGGTACTTTAAATGTTAGGTGGTAGGCATCTACTTGACCAGTGCCATTTGTAATACTGTCTTCTTTGTTAGGAGTCTCGCTCTCAGTCAAAATCTCCAACGGGAACTCCTGCTCGAGTAAAATCAGAGAGCAGGTCAGGATCTCGTAGTCCATCAAGGGTTTCCAAACATTCTGAATCCCATTCTCGATCAAGATCAAAATCCAGGTAAGTTTTTAAAAAATGTGTAAACTGCTTTCTTCACAGCAAGATGGTGTTTTGTCAGGTCTCCTATTAGCTGCAGTTCATACAGAAAGTTCATCGTCGACTCAGGCTGCAGAATTTAGAATCATTCCTTGGCTTATCTGTTGGCACTGCCTATTGGATAAAGGTATCTGACTACTGCAGTGTCCTTTGGCCTCTACCCTTGTACCTACATAAAAACATCATACATACAAAATTTAAGGGGGAAAAAAAGGCTAGATATACAAATCTGTCATCTATCTTACTTTCTGAAGCAGAATCTCTCATTCAGGCCAGAGCTTGCCCGTGTGGCTGTTCTAGCTGGTCATCTTGTTCTGAGGATCCTTAGTCTCTACCTTTCAAAACTGGAGTTACAGACCAGTTACTATACCTGACCAACATTTACAGAACTTTTGAAGGTCTGTACTCCTAGTTTTCTGCCTACATGGTGATCACCCATAAGCCATCTACCCAAGGCAAAAACTGATTTTTGTTTTTTTGGGGGAGGGGTTGTTTGGGCAGTGGTGGTAGCAGCAGATTTTACTAAAATTAGTACTAAAGAGAATAAGGAATATCTTCATTAATATTCTTCCCAATCAAATGATTTGTCTCGTAGTACACCATTAGATTTATTTCATCCTTCTCTCAGAAGTCTCTATTCAAGAACTTAATACCAGGTTACCTCAATACTCTTTGTTCTTCATTAATTCCTTTATAAGTACAGCAGACTTATTTTTGCTATTCTCTAAGTGCATCTCCACCACTTTCTCTTTCTTTTCAATTTAGACAAGGTCTCACTGTCTAGCCCTGGCTGGCCTGGATGAAATTCAGAGATCTTTGTCCCTCTTGGGTGCTGGTGGTAAAGGCATGCACACCATTCGCTGCTGCTGCTCTTTTTCTTTGCTTTGAAACAAGAAACCAGCTTTGACTATCTGGCCAGCCTCTTAACTCACGGAGATACTCCTGCCTCTTGTCTCCTGAGCACTGGGATAAAAGGCGTATGCCTCCATGCCCCAGTCTGTTTGTATGTCTTTTCTTTAAATATGCTTTAACATTTTTTGATGGAAGATGAAGTGTGAGTGAAGGGGTAGACTAAATAGAATTTTTAAAAATAAGAATGACTTGAGAAATGGCACAGTCAGTGGCTGAGTGTTTGCTGTTCATTCACAGGACCTGCATTCGATTCTTAGTTTTCAGCATAGGTGTTTGACGGCTTACGACCAACCACCTGTAACTCCACCTTCAGGAGTTCTGCACTTCTGGAAGACATCTACAATACAAATATGTACATATACACATAAATAAAAATGGGTGTGTGCTAATAAGCAGGTGCCCATTGAGTCCAAAAGAGGGCATCACATCCCTTACAGAAAGTTGGGCTGGAAACCAAAGTCAGGTCCTCTTCAAATACAGTGTATATTCTCAACCAAGCCATCTCTCTAGCCCCCCAAAATCTTAAAAACAAAGCACCCAATTGTTGCAGCAAAACAAATTTAACATTTCTTTTAATTAGATAACGTGTGTGTGTGTGTTCCATATGTATTCAGTGCCCTCACAGACTTGAAGAGGGAGGCATCCCCCAGAACTGAAGTTAACAGATGGTATAAACCAAACCTGGGTTCTCTTGGACAGCAACAAATGCTCTTAACTGCTTAGCTATCTCTCCAGCCCTGTGATCCCACATTTTACCTAAGTTTATTTCTTTCAAAGGTCAAGGTCAAGGAGGCATTCTCATAGACGCTACAGTCGGTCCAGGTCCCATTCTCATAGGAGACGATCTCGAAGTAGATCCTATACGCCAGAGTATCGTCGACGAAGAAGTCGGAGTCACTCTCCAATGTCTAATCGCAGAAGACATACAGGCAGCAGGGTATGTTGTGAAGGCTAATGGAAATGTGGATTTCTCTTTCTCCAGTGTGTAGTCATGGCATAATGCCTTGCTTTTGCGAAAGAAGTGGTGCTGCAGAAAGAAATATTTTAGCTGCTTGTGGTGGCTCTTGCCTTAATCCCAGTGCTCAGGAGGCAAAGTTCCGAGCCAGCCAGGGCCACATAGTGAAGCCCTGTCTTTAAAGGGGGAGGGGTGTTAGTGGTGCATACCTTTAATCCCAGCACTCTGGATGCAGAGACAGGCAGATCTCTGAGTTTGAGGACAACCTAATTTGCCTGATGAGTTCCAGGGCAGTCGGTCAGAGCCACACAGAGAAACCTCGTTTTGGGAAGGAGGGGAGGGGTGGCTGGAGAGATGGCTCAGAGGTTAAGAACACTAGCTGGTCTTCCAGAGGTCCTGAGTTCAATTTCCAGCAACCACATGATAACTCATAACCTGCTGTAATGAGTTCTGATGCCCTCTTCTGGCCTGCAGGGATATATGCAGACAGAAAACCATACACTAATAAATATACATAATTTCATGAACTTACTACAAAGGAAGTACATATTTTTGACTTTGTGTGTGACAGATTTGCCATGTAGATAAGGTTGACTTCTGCCTCATCCTCTTAAGTTCTGTGATTACTAAGCAGGAAGTTTGTGTAAGTGCATTTCTCAAGGAAGCTGGAAAGGGCATTAGTTCTCTGGAGCTAGAGTAATGAACAGTCACTTGAGATCCTTGGAACATGGGTGCTAAAAATGCACCTCTGCTAGAGTAGTTTGAGGTCCAAACCACCGAGCCATCTCTCCAGAGTCTTTCCTTGGTTTGTGTGTGTCTGCACAGGTGCACAGGTATAGACCGCAGGTTGTGCCCATTGTTTTCATCAGTTATTTACCACCTTATCGTGTGAGGTAGAGCCTCACTGAACCTAGAGCTCACCTATTTATTGGCTATGCTGGCCGTACACCAAGCACCAAGAATCCTCCTGTCTGTTTAGTGCTGGAATTTTGGGTGTGCACAGTTGTACCCAGGTCTTTTTGTATATGGTTATTTAAAATATCAGATTTGGGGGAAAATATGTTCATCAATTAAAATGATAATCAAACTGAGATGTGGACCACTTTTGTTATGTTCTTTTCACTCAAAAGTTTTATTACAGGGAAGAAACAAGAAAACACCAAAAATCTATGTAATAACTTATACTATTGAATTCATGTAATACTTTTTAGTTTTTCGAGACAGGGTTTCTCTGTGGCTTTGGAGGCTGTCCTGGAACTCGCTTGGTAATCCAGGCTGGTCTCGAACTCACAGAGATCCGCCTGCCTCTGCCTCCCGAGTGCTGGGATTAAAGGCGTGCGCCACCACTGCCCGGCTTCATGTAATACTTTTTATGTGCAGGTTATTTGGATGTGAAACACTGGAGCATTTTGTTTTGATTTAGGATTGGCAGAGAGACCAGCAAGATAGCTCAGTAAGTGGATTGGGGCACTTGGCTGCCAAGCCTAATGGCCTGATCCACATTGTAGAAAGAATTGCCCTGACCTCCATATGTGCTTCATAGCACAAGTGTGTCCATATATACATACACTGAATAAATGTGGGTTTTTGATTCTGTTCATTATTGCTGTTTTAAATGAATGATAGAGCCCAAATCTCAAACTAATTGCCTTGCTCTAAAGTTGTTTGCTGTGTTTTCTCCTATATAATACCAGTGATGCTGACATGGTAGATTGTATGTGTCAGTATTTAATAATCTTGAAGTCTGGATCCTGACAACTTCAAAGGATGTACTGCTACAGAATGAAAATGGTGCCTAGGGATAAGGACTAAGGACACTTACTGCTTTGCCGTAGGACCAGAGTTGGGATCCATTGGCCCCACCTGGCCTCTGTAGACACATGGACAGACATTGGGGGGGAAGGACTGATTTTTTTTTTAATTCTTTTAATGTGTTTATGAGTGCCTACCTTTATGTATGTACATGTTTGCCTCTGGAGGTTAGAAGGTTATTGGATCCCCTGGAAGTAGAGTTAAAGGTAGTTACAAAACACCATGTGGGTTCTGGGAACCCAAATGGGGTCATCTGCAAGAGAAGCAGGTACCCTTAACCATTGAACTGTCTGTTCAGCACCTAAAGTAAATGTTTAAAAGAATGAAAATAGAGGGCTGGGATGTAGCTGAATGGGCAGAGTACTTATCGTTGTACACGAGACCCTGGGTTCCGTCTCCAGCACCATATAAAATTGAGGTTACTGGAAAAGTGGAAATGAGTCAGATTAACTGGTAATGAACCAGGCATGCAAAAGGTGAATTGTTTGGGTACATTCTGAAAATTGCTGAAAGGGAATGTTTTTCAAGACAGGGTTTCTCTGTGTGACAGTCCTGGCTGGCCTGGAACACGCTCTGTAGATCAGGCTGGCCTCCAACTCACAGAGATCTGCCTGCCTCTGTCTGAGTGCTGAGAGTAAAGGCGTGTGCCACCACCCAGCTGGGAGAGAATGGTTTTGTACAAGCTATAGCCTTAAAGTGTGTTCCAAAGAAAATCTTTGTGTTTTGGTCTTATACTGGAATTTTAATGAAAATTAAGTCTGCCTTTATTCAACAGGCAAATCCAGATCCCAACACTTGCCTGGGAGTGTTTGGCCTCAGTTTGTACACAACAGAGAGAGATCTTCGTGAAGTATTTTCTCGATATGGACCGTTGAGTGGTGTGAATGTGGTTTATGATCAGCGAACTGGGAGGTCACGTGGATTTGCTTTTGTGTATTTTGAGAGGATAGATGACTCTAAGGAGGTAATTCTTGTTTTATAATTTTCATTTGAAAGAATTTTTTATATGCACGATGCTGATGCAGCATTATTATTACAAGCCTGTTAATAGCCTTTCTGTAAACATGCCTCCTAACTGTCTGACCTGATTGGAACTCAACTTACAGTTTTGCAGGTAAAAAACTAGTTTTGCTTCTTTGTTCATGCTTTCTATATAATTACATGCTAATTGAAATCTGACTTTATGACGTGAATGATAGGAGTTAATGTTAACAACTACAGTGTGTAACTATTCTTTTAATATAAGCCATGTTGATGCTTAAGTTGACGGTCTAATTTCATATCTAATTCTGAGGGGTGGGACAGAGGCAGGTGGATCTCTGTGAGTTTGAGGACAGCCAGAGTCTCCAAGTGAGTGGGGTGATGAGCTCAGATGCAGACTGATTACTTTCCTTGGCGATCACTAGGGGGCAGTGCTGGCTTAGAATTGGGTACTATCTCAATTCTCAACGGGAGGAGGCCAAGCTACTGTAATTGTTCTCTTGCATCCCTTTAAATCATGACTTCTTGGCTACTTAGTGAGTTTTACAAATAAATATTGAACTACAAACAGAGCAAGGGTAGAGGTAGGTGTTTTTGAGCCAGGGTTTCTTTGTATTGTTTTGGAGGCTGTCCTGGAACTCACTCTGTAGACGAGGCTGGCCTCGAACTACAGAGATCCGCCTGCCTCTGCCTCCCGAGTGCTGGGATTAAAGGCGTGTGCCACCAACGTCCAGAGGTGGTAGAGGTAGTTTAAGTGAGCATGATGTTGTGTACCTGTAATCCTATCACTTGTGAAACAGAGGCAGGATTGCTGTAATTCCCAAGCAATTCAGATGACATTGATATATAGTCTTAAGGAGAGTAGGAGGGGTTATAAGTTAAAAGCAAACAAAAAAGCCCCTAAAGCTTAGCTAGCTGTTCTGAGAATCTGAGGTCTTTGTAAGTGAAGCACATCTTGGTTGCATTGTCTGTGCAACTTAAATATGGTCTAGGCAAGCCAGGCGTTGACGGCGCACATCTTTTTTGGGGGGGGGGGGGTTCGAGACAGGGTTTCTCTGTATTGTTTTGGAGGCTTTCCTGGACTCGATTTGTAGACCAGGATGGCCTCGAACTCATAGAGATCTGCCTGCCTCTGCCTCCCGAGTGCTGGGATTAAAGGCGTGCGCCACCAACGCCCGGCTGATGGCGCACATCTTTAATCCCAGCACTCAGTAGGCAGAAGCAGGAGAATCTCTGGTTTATGGTGCCAGGATAGGCTCCAAAGCTACACAGAGAAACTCTGTCTGGAAAAACCAAATATATATATATATATATATATATATATATATATATACTTTGCTCTGGAAGTGCTGGCAGTTCCTTTTCTATGCCACTTCAAAAGTGGATTTTTTGGATTATATATAGTTCATACTTAATTTTAAGTTAACTAAAGTAGCTTCAATATTAATGAATTAATACTTTTCTTTTTATAGGCTATGGAAAGGGCAAATGGAATGGAGCTGGATGGTAGAAGAATTCGTGTGGATTATTCTATCACCAAGAGAGCACACACGCCCACACCAGGCATTTACATGGGCAGACCAACTCAGTAAGATTTTGTGCTTTACATAGGGGTAGTGTGCTTGCCTAGCATGTTCAGGCTTAGGGATAGGTCCCAGGCTATAAAAGCAAATCTAGTTTCCAACTTGTCTAAGATTAAACTGCGTTCCAGAAGTGTAGGAGTGCATGTAAAAATATGACTATTAAACAAAGCTGTCTACATCCACATCTCTTCCGTTTTATTTTACCAATATATAATCATTTAAGGGGGCTGGAAAGACAGATCATCCCTTAAGAATACAAGGGAGGTTCCCTCTTATCTCTCAGTTTTCCCTGCCAGTTTGTATTAAATGATCCTGAATAATAAAAAATTTTTTTGCAGTAGTGGCGGAGGAGGAGGTGGAGGAGGCGGTGGTGGAGGCGGCGGTGGCGGTGGTAGACGACGAGATTCTTACTATGATAGAGGATATGACCGAGGCTATGACAGATACGAAGATTATGATTACCGGTACAGGTAATGTTTTAATCTGCGATATCAAGTCTATGCTGGATGATTGGCACTTTAATGTTGGCATGTACAAATAAAAATGAATGTTTGAGCTGGGTAGTCCTAGTTGCTTGGGAGACAAAGACGAGGATTCATGGTGACTTTACATATTTTGGGGGTGGGATGGTTAAGAGTTGAAGAAAGTTTTAGGGGTGAGAGTATCACTTGGTGGTACTTCTCCAGTATGTACTAGGTCCTTGCTCAATCCTCCATGCTCCTTAAAAATGAAGACACGGGGTCTTGCTATGTAGCCCTGGCTAGCTTGGAGCTGGCTGTGTAAACCAGCCTGGCCTCCACTCACTGACGTCAGGTCTTCCCAGTATTTGGGACTAAAGGTCTGCACTACCACAATGGCTAGGTTTTTTCTTTTCCCCCCCTTTCTTCACTAGACTCAGTGAAGCGATTATGTGGTGTGCCAATTCATCTCTCTTTTCTTACAGAAGAAGGTCGCCATCTCCTTATTACAGCCGCTACAGGTCACGGTCAAGATCTCGTTCCTACAGCCCAAGTATGTAACATTTGCTTTTGTAGTGTTGAAACCATCTTTCTACTTTTTTTTTTTTTTAATTTTGATTTTTCGAGGCAAGGTTTCTCTGTGTAGCTTTGGAACCTGTCCTGGAACTTGCTCTGTAGACCAGGCTGGCTTCGAACTCACAGGAGGTCCACCTACCTCTGCCTCCCAGGTGCTGGATTAAAAGTGTGGGCCACTAACGCCCGGCTGAAACCATCTTTCTGACTAGTGGTTTATTTTGAGATACTGGCATATGTGGTGGCTGTTAATAGTTGGAAAAACACCAGGCAAGTAAAACTATAATTATAATTGTTTTTGTTCTCTTTCAGGACGCTATTGATAATGAAGCAGTTATGGCCAAGGACTTTCCTTTCCTTTTTTGAGTCTGATTTATGAGCTTCCAATGCTTCCTGGTCCAAAAAACAAAACCCCTTGGTTTATTTAATCTATAGTGTGGCCAGTTGTGTTGCTGTGTTCCACCCTGTGTTATACTCTTAAAGGTGTAATTGTCATTTAAGTTGTTCAACATCTGAGTAAAAAGGAGCCCATTGTTACACTTTGTGGTTCTTTGCCTTTACATGGGATTAACTCCCTACTAGGAGGAAAAAAATGATCTTTGAAAGCTTTTGTGATGGATAGTGTAGTAGATGTCCTGTTATTAGAAATCTGCAGTTATGGCAAACTGCTTTTTAACCTTTGGGGGAAGATCACTTTAAGTAGATCAGTCATGTCAAGTTTGTCTGGAGTGGCATGGAACAGTCATAGTTGAGTGTAGAAAGTTTGAAGCTATAGGAGAAAATATGAAGAATGTAGCTTTGAACCTAAAAAATTAAGTCACCTTTTAGGAATTAAAAGCTTGTAGATTCCTATAAAACATGTTATATTTGAAGTTACATGTTAAACCTTATAAACTTAAAGTGTGATTTTTGTGTTAAATTTACAGAAACTTAAGTATTCCCTTAATCAGTGAAGGACAACCATTATTTATTGCCTAGAACAATTGTATAATTTGCTGTTAGAAATTTTGCTATTGGGTTATTGGTTTTGTGGGTTATTGTATAGTATAGAATCCTAAAATACATGTGGGGAAGAGTAATTTCAAATAAAAGTTCATTTGAAAAGGGATTGTCTTTTTTATTTGATAACAATGGACAGTACAACTGGATTGAAAGCTCTTTGTTTGATTGTGTGCCTGCATGCATATCAGTGCAGTGGTGTGTACATGCAGTGCCTGCCTTCGAGACTAGAAGAGGGAATCTTCCTAGCCTCTGGAACTGTTAGAGCTGTGAGCCACCCGACCCTCTGGAAGAACGGCCAGGACTGTCCACCTCTTCAGCTCTGTAGAAACCAGATTTTTCATTTTCCTCAAATTCCTGCAGTGTTTAATTAGACAAAATTTTGTCCATCCTGAGTCAACTTAATATTTCCTCACTTTTAATACTTTTTTTCTTCAACTGAATCAGTTATTACTCTGAGCTATAAAAACACCTATTTTGGAGCCGGGTGTTGGTGGTGCACGCCTTTAATCCCAGCACTTGGGAGGCATAGGCAGACGGATCTCTGCGAGTTCCAGGACAGCCTCCAAAACAATACAGAGAAACAAAACAAAAAAACCCCTTTTTTGAGACCCCTGTGTTTTTCTGTTCTTTTTATGTGTGTGAGCTAAGAGTATATGGTAGCAACATATTGAAGAAAAAAAAAACACAGCTGGCTCATGTCTCCTGGAAGCCTACATTCAAGTGGGGGGGGACTTTTATTAATTTTTTTACATTCCAATCCCAGTTCTCCTACTCACCCCACTGCCCACCTCCTTGGAGAGGGTAGAGCCTCTCCTAGGAAGTCTACTAAGTCTATTCTATCTCATTGAGGCACGACCAAGGTACCTCCCACCCCCATACCCCTCTGTCTGGGCTGGGCAAGGTATCTCTCTCTCCATATAGAATGGCTCCACTAAGTCAGTTTGTGCATTAGAGCTAGATCTTGGACCCACTGCCAGTGGCCTCATATATCGTCCCAGCTGTACCATTGTCACTTATATTAAGGAAGTGTAGTAGTCTTAATGCAGGTTCCCAGTTTGTAAGACCTGAGTCAGTGGTCTCTCACTAACTTGGGCCAGCTGATTCTGTGGGTTTCCCTTCCCCATCATGGTCTTGTCTTCTTTGTTCATATTTTTCTCCTCCCTCACTTTGATTGTACTCCAGGAGCTCGGCCCATTGGTGAGTTGTGAATTTCTGCATCTGCTTCCACCTGTTTATGGATGACGGTTCTAGCTTCTGGAGTTGTGGATTGTAGGCTGGGTACCTTGCTTTGTGCCTGATACCCACTTAGGAGTGAGTACATAATATTTGTCTTTCCAGGCCTCGTTTACCTCACTCAGTATGTTTTTTTTTTTTCTAGTTCTGTCCATTTGCCTGCAAATTTTAGGATATCCTATTTCTTTAATTCTGAGTAGTACTCCATTGTGTAAATATAACATACTTTATCCATTCTTTGGCATCTAGGTTGTTTCCCAAGCTATGGCTATTTCGAATAATGTTGCTGTAAACACAGTTGAGTCCTTGTGTGAGTGTACCTCCTTTGGGTATATGCCCAAAAGTGGTTGGTGTTGCATGGTTTTGAGGTTCCTAATTTTACTGATTTCCACAGAGGCTGTACAAGTTTGCACTCTGACCGGCAATGGAGGAGTGTCACTGGTAGAGGGGACTTTTTTTTTTTTGGTTTTATGAAACAGGGTTTCTCTGTATTGTTTTGGAAGCTGTTGGTTCAACCCGGCCGAACTCAAGAGAGATCCGCCTGCCTCTGACTCCTGAGTGCTGGGATTAAAGGCGTGTGCCACCAACATCCAGCAATAGTTTCTATTTTTAAGTTTTCAGTGTTTTGCTTACATGTATGACTACAGGCCTTAAGAGGGCACCAGGGCCGGGCGTTGGTGGCGCATGCCTTTAATCCCAGCACTGGGAGGCAGAGGCAGGCGGATCTCTGTGAGTTCGAGACCAGCCTGGTCTACCAAGCAAGTTCCAGGACAGCCTCCAAAGCCACAGGGAAACCCTGTCTCACAAAAACAAACAAAAAAAAGAGGGCACCAGATCTTACGGATGGTTGTAAGCCACCATGTGGGTGCTGGGGATTGAACTCAGGACCTCTGGAAGAGTAGCTAGCTCTTAACTGCTGAGCCATCTTTCCAGCCTCAGCTTTCTTAAAATGTGTGGGGCATTGCTGGTGTACACCTTTAATCCCAGCACTCAGAAGCAGTTGGATCTCTTGAGTTCAAGGCCGGCCTGGTCTATAGAGCAAGTTCTTGGACAGCCAGGGGTACACCCTGTTTTGAACACCCCTATATACACACACAAAGGTGTTAGTATACTATTCGTTGCTGAATTAGGAATAAGGATCATGGATGAGAATTTTATAAATCTGTGGAACTGAAGTATAATCAGCCTTGTTAGTCTAGCTTATAAAAATTATTTTAAGGACTTAAAAGAGAGTTAGGTGAACGTTAGGAGCACTTAATGGATTCCCAGCAACAGAGTGGTGACTCACAACCCTGTTACATCCCCTCATCTAGTGCCCTCTTCTGATTTTTTTTTTTTTTTTTTTTTTTTTTTTTTTGGTTTTTCGAGACAGGGTTTCTCTGTGGCTTTGGAGGTTGTCCTGGAACTCGCTTGGTAGTCCAGGCTGGTCTCGAACTCACAGAGATCCACCTGCCTCCGCCTCCTGAGTGCTGGGATTAAAGGCGTGCGCCACCAACGCTCGGCCCCCTCTTCTGATCTTGATAGGCACATAAAAGCTTTTAAATTAGGAGCTGGAGAGATGGTTCAGAGGTTGAGAGTACTGGCTCTTCTTCCAGAGGCCCTGAGTTCAATTCCCAGCAACCACACGGTGGCTCATAACCATCTATAATGAGATCTGGTGTCCTCTTCTGGCCTGCAGGGAAAACACTATATCTAGTACATAAAGTTTTTTAATTGGAAGTACTCTTCCACTGGTCAGTGGTGGTGACTCCTTTAATGCCAGCACTCAGGAGGCAGAGACAGATCTCTGTCAGTTTAAGGCTAGTCTGGTCTACAGAGCTTATTGCAGGATACAGAGAAACCCTGTCTCAAGAAAATGTACTCTCCCCATAAAAGTATAGGAAATTTTATTAAATAAGATAATTAAATGGGTCATTGCTATAAAGAGAAAAATTAATATTTTACAATGGCTTACAAAAGGACAAGAGTCAGCAGCTGTGTCGACCAAAGGAACATGATGCCCATGTAGGAGTATAAGCTCATCAGAGAGACAGGAATGGTCCCACTAAGGTTGTGTATCCCCAAGTATGTTGAAGGAATTTTCTCAGCAGCCATGTCATCCACGTATCCAGCAGTGGCCAACTAGATAAGATGGTATTTACACATAATGAGATAAGACCTTTAAGAGGTGTTGGACTGGAGAAATGGCTCAGCTATTGCCATGTGCTGTTACTGTGAAGGTTCTAGGTTCAGTTCCCAGCACCCCCGTAGGGCAGCTGACAATTCCAGAGGCTTGGAATTGATGCTGCTTTAGGGACTCCGAGGCAAGTGCACAGGCATGTTTGTACTTTTTTTTTTTTTTTCCCAGACAGGGTTTCTCTGTGGCTTTGGAGGTTGTCCTTGGACTAGCTCTTGTAGATCAGGCTGGTCTCGAACTCACAGAGATCTGCATGCCTCTGCTTCTGCCTCACAATTGCTGGGATTAAAGGCGTGAGCTACCACTGGCTAGCTACACATAATTTTTAAAGATCTTAAAACAATCCTGGTGAGGTGATGCACCTTTAATCCCAACACTCCAGAGACAGATTTTTTTGTGAGTTCAAAGCTGGTCTTGAGTGCCAGGACAGCCAGGACTGTTACACAGAGAAACCCTGTCTTGAAAAGAAAAGGGTTTTTTGATTTCTATTTTGTTTTGTTTTTTAATGATTTTAATTTTGATTTTATACACATTGATGTTTTGCCTACTGGAGTTAGAGTTGTAAACTGCCATGTAGGTTCTGGGAATTGAACTGGGTCGTCTGGAAGAGCAACCAGTGCCCCAATGATCCAACTAAGACTAACCAGGGCAATCTGTGTGACCATAGGTTTAGGGCTATCCATTGGAGCCTGTGAGGCTCTGCAGTGGGTAAGTAACCTAAGACAGTGATTCTCCCACTTCAAGAATCTATGAGCAGCCAATATTTCAGAAGTAAAGAGTAGAACAAACTGTTAATTCCCTCCTCGACTGTATGTCGATACTGCTGGGCTTGTGCAAGTAAGATGTATAATTGACTTCGGCTAGAAGTCAAATAGAACTATAAATTACATTTAAATGATGTAAAGGAGAGTGCTGTGGAGATGGTTCAGTAGATAGAGTGCTTGGCATAAGGACCTGAATTCAAAGCCCCACGTTTCCAGATGAAAACCAGGTGTTGACGTGCATTCCTGTAACCCTAAAGCTGTGTATGGATGGTAGAGGTGATAATAGGGGCCAGCCTAGCATCCTTGAGTTCATAGGTGTATGCATGCATGAATATATATACACAAACACCACACACTAAGTTATAACCAGATGTGGTGGTACACACCTTTAATCCCAGCAGAAGTAGGGGCAGGGGGATCTCTGAGTTTTAGGCTAGCCTGGTCAGCCAAGGAGTTCCAGGTCAGCCAAGTGTTTGCATAGTGAAACTCTTGTCTGAACAAACAACAGAGCTATAAATCACCATTTTACTGCCCTGATAGTCAAGGTGAGAATGATGATGTACATACTAAGAAACATGCTCTTAGTATATTCTACTCAAGGTGTTAACTACAAAGGGGAGAATGTTTAGATTTTAGACTGAAGAAACCTGGTAGACAGCTAAATGATTAAGTGGAAACCAACGGACGACTGTGCTTCCCAAGAAACTTAGGATGGCATCACTATGGTTCACCACCACAGTAGAGAGAATCAGGAGAACAGACAATCCCACGAAAGATGATGGGAAGAAAATAGAGGGGTTTTCTAACTCAGCATAGTGTCCCCATCATCTCACCTAACAGGAAGCTGGGTGGGCAACAGCAAGATTGTTTCAAAAACAAGGTGTCAGTGGGGTGAGGAACAGTCCAAATTGAAGGAGACTAAAAGAACGTG